AAACCAAGTACATTCTGAAGATGATTATGGCGAAGACAAAGGCTCGTTTGGAATTCTTTGGAGGGCTGCAGTCTCCACAATAGCCTATTTAGGACCTCATGTTCGTCATCCATGTGTCATGTATCGGTTAGACGCAAGAGCCTGGTGTGATTTTTCTCTTATATCCTTCATAAAAGCAGGCATTTGTGTTATTTTATTTCCCATTGCCTGTTTTTATCACGTCAGCTCGAGTGTAGTTGTCTCGTCAGCAGCTCCTTAACCTCGAAGACGACCATCAATTTACAACTGTACATGTCGTATTTGACCATTTGGAACCCCACTGAAGACTCGAACATTCTATGACAAAACTGGCCGTCAAACGACTCCAACTTTGAAAAGAAAAATGATTTGAACTTACAGAAAACGTCTTCTGGTGGGAACCATCACCGATACTATGGTCACTACAACTGTTGGCCTCTTTCGTTAGCGCGTATTTCCGGAGGTCCCTGTTAGTAAGTTAGCAGAGAATAAATTTAGGGTGCATTCGCCTAACACGATGGTTCTTGGCGGATATAAAGAAGTCTCACAAATTAAAATGAGGGTAAATCACAACCTGACTTGAGTTTTTCTTTTCAACTCTCTGAATACCTTTTAAGTGACAAGACTGAGGATAGTTGTAATTGTCTGGTGTGTCCTCGTATATCGTAGACTCGTCAAAGTCCTCAGGATTATTTGTGACAAGGCCCTTTCCCTGTCACTCTTCTCACGCTCCTCCGACAATTGTTTCTGGATAGTGAGTCCGCGTAAAAATCATGTGTTTCCCTCTGTCGAGTTAGCTGCATATAGAGAGCTCGAAGAACACTTATATTTATATGCAGAACAAACCTCACAAACCTTGGGTCCCAGAAGAGTGACACACGGCCCTGAATTTTCCTGGGTCATCGCCCTTCAAAGGCTGGGTAACCAGTCAGTCAGCAACTGAAAGACACTCTCCATTAAGTAACGCATACCCCTTTTATGCGTGAGAGTGCCACAGGCCACTTTAAGGAGGAGAAGTTACGGCCTTGCAGTCAGCCAATTCGACAGCTCGACCGTCGTTGCCGACGATGTCCACCGTGTGCCACACAACAAGGTTAGCAGGCACGACGACTTGCGCGTGAATCCGTATATAATGAATGCGGACTTGCGCTGCATCTACCGCACTCTCCTCCCCACCTGAACCCGGTGTCAAGACATAGTCAAGAAGACCGACTTCGGGGGAAGGTGCAGGTGGATGGCGCTGTAAAACCCGTACTTTGGCGTCCCACTACACACCTCCTGGTCCACACAGCTAATGACCAGGCTTTTGACCACCACCAACAACAACAGCAGTAACAACAAGACCCCAACAGGAGACAGCAGGACGAGGATGACTGGGCAACTATGCCCAACACCTGTATACACAGCGGGAGCGCAAGCACATCTCTCGGCCGAGAACCAGATGTCAGGGAATCGCCAACTCATAGCAGGCTGCGATGTCCATGGTTTGCTGATACTGGCATAGCACACTCATTCAGAACTTTTGACCTAGAAGAGCGACACGTGGCACTGTGTTTAGCCTAGACCGTCATCCATCACGATGGGATAACCAAACAGTCTTCGACTGTGAGACACTACCGATAAAGCACACGCACAAACACAAACACTCTCCTCACTTGAATGGGAGTGTCACAAATCGTTTGAGAAGGGGCCGTGACAGCCTGGCTCTCAGCCCACCAGTCCGCCACTCTACACAACACACAGGACATTTCGACCGTCGATTTCTACGATGTCCACCGTGTGCCCCACAGCTGTAGCAGCCGTGGGAGCAGGGACGATGACTTGCGCAGCGGGTTATAGTGACACTAGACTTGCGCTGCATCTACCTACACTCTCTCCTACTCCCCCGCCTGAGCCCAGTGTCAAGACAGAGCCATGAAGACCGGAGACGAGGGGGGCCGCAGGTGGATGGCTCGGACGGATCCTCACCTTGGCGTTCCACCACACCCCCTGGTCCACACAGCAAATAACCAGGATTTTCACCAACACAACAGAGTTAGGAGGCTGGCAGGGTCGAAGCCGCACTTAGGCGTGCCGCCAACGCCTGGTTCGGATCCCACACTGTGGTGGGAGTGCCATAAAGGCCACAGTAAGAAGGAGCCATTGCAGCCTGACTCTCAGACCACCACCAGCCGAGGAGGAGGTCCAAGTTATCCCGTCAGATGGCAACCTTCCAAGCCACGGCTTTTAGCGCACCGTGATAGCTTCAAGCGCGTCAGATTGTTTATAGTGAGGAAAGTGCGCTGACCCATGCGATGCGTGAAGGTGCGAGGACAGTGTGGGCAGTGGAGGCGAGTGCGGTGGGTGTAGGTTTGTGCTCCAGGCACTGGTTCGCCAGTCTCTGTGCGATGGATTCGCAAGTGACCGACCAGGCCAATGTGTGAGGTGAAGGTGCGGTCGCAGTGAGGGCAGATATAGTCCCGATCCTCACCGCTGGAGTCGAAGGCAGTGTGCGTGGTGTCGGTTGTTGCGTGAGTGACAGTCGCCTGAGCGGCCGTCGCAAGGGCGATTTTGGTGGTGGTGGAGGAGGAGGAGGAGGAGGAGGAGGAGGGGGGGAGGAGGAGGAGGAGGAGGTTAGCGGTGGCGGGGCAGCATAGTAGTCAGAGGTAGCAGACGGCGGAGAGGACGAGGAAGGGGCAGGCGGGGGGACGATGGTTGGAGCAGTTCGAGATGCGCAGTTGATCCGTAGATGTCCAACAAGTCCGATTCGAGCCCTGAGTGTTCGTTGGCATCGAGGACACGTTGGTTGCGGTTGAGCGGCGGCGTTGCGTACTGGGCGAAGTTGGGATTTGCGGACTTCGCGTTTCACTTTGGCGGCAACGATGCGGCTGGCTTCGTAGATGGCAGCGCCTGTCTTCACTGTCCTCCTCCAGGTCGGTCGGTCGAGTGCGAGCTCTTCCCAGTTGGCCGTGTTGATTTGCAGGCGCTTCAGGGAGGACTTCAGGGTATCCTTGTAACGGCGAATTTGGCCTCCATGACGGCGAGAACCCGTCGTGACGTCTCCGTAGAAGAGTCGTTTGGGTAGTCGCTCGTCGTCCATGCGCACCAGGTGGTCGCTCCAGCGCAGCTGCATTTGTCTCAGCATGGTGTAGATGCTGAGGGTTCCCGTCCATTCCAGCACATCAGTGTCGGGGATTCGATCCTGCCAGTTAAGCCTCAGGATGCGACGGAGACAACTGAGGTGGAAGTGGTTCAGTCGGCGTGCCTGTCTTGTGTACACCGTCCATGCCTCTGCTCCGTACAGTAACGTCGGCAGGATGACGGCCTTGTACATCTTCAGCTTCGTGCTCAGTTGGAGACCGTGGCGATTCCAAACTGTGCTTTGGAGGCGGCCGAAGGCTTGACTGGCTTTCGAGATCCTGTTGGCGACTTCGTCATCGATCTTGGTGTTACGGGAGAGGATACTGTCCGGGTACGGCAAGTTCTCCACTACTTGCAAATGGGTTCCGTTCACGCTGATTTGCGGCTTGTTGAGGGGTGTGGCCCTGTTCGAGATGGTTATTGAGGCGGTTGAGAAGGATGCGAGCAAAGATCCTCCCGGCGATGTTCAGCAAGGAGATGCCACGGTGATTATCGGAGACTTGGCGATTCTCTTTTCGCTTGTAGGGATGCACGATGGTTGCGTCTGTGAAATCTTGCGGGACTTCACCTTGACGCCACATCTCCTGGAAGAGCGCAGTCAGGTGATCCATCACTTGGGGACCTCCGTGCTTGTAGACCTCAGCAGGGATTGCGTCCGATCCGGGTGCCTTCCCGCTGGAGAGTTGCTGCACGGCCCTGATGGTTTCCTGGAGAGATGGCGGGAGGTCGAGGTCCACGTTGGTCTCCACTTGCGGCAGGCGGGCGATGGCGGCGTCGGAGATGGCGGAGGGGCGGTTGAGGACGTTTCGGAAATGCTCCGCCCATCGCTGTAGGATTTGCGTCTCCTCAGTCAGGAGAGTGCTACCGTCGGCGCTGAGGAGAGGAGCAGTGCCCTTCGTCGGCGGACCGTAGACAGCTTTGATCGCAGAGAAGAAGTTCTTCCATTCGTTGCGGTCCGCATAGCCTTGGATCTCCTCAGCTTTGCGAGCAGTCCAGGCGTCCTGCATCTCGCGCAGTCGTTGCTGAAGCTGGCGGCGACTGCGGTAGAAAGCAACTTTGTTGTCCTCGGTGGGGTGATCTACGTAGGCTTTGTGTAGGCGGTTCTTCTCAGCAAGCATATTTCTGATGGCGGCGTCGTTGTCGTCGAACCAGTCCTGGTGTTGTCGGGGAGCGCGACCGAGGACGGCGAGCGCCGTCGACTGGACCGTGTCTCGCAGTTGGCACCAGCGGTTCTCCACGGAGGCGTTCTCGGCAGCGGCGGCGGCGGCGTCGTTGGCGGCGGCAGCGATAGGAAGGTTGTCTAGCCGTTGAGCTAGCTCATTGCTGAAATGAAGATGGTGAGCGGACAAAGAGAGCGTGTGCTGTTTCTTGTTTGATTGTTTTGACCGTGAGTTTTTCGTCTGAGGCCACGGTTAGCCTGCAGACGGCGTGGGTTCCCAGCATTTGTTAAGGGCACCTTTTATAGCCTCTCCCCCTCGCGGGAGTGAGCAGTGCTCTCCCAAATTAGGGCTGATCCGTTGTCCCAGACGGCTGCTGATCTCCACTATGTGTCACGAGTTTTGTGAAGTGGAAGAACGACCAGAGTTAGCCTGGGTCTGCCTACGACATCGCCGTAGGGCTTGAAGGGGTGGGAGGGCGAGGGGGAAGGGTAGATAGACGGGAAGCAGAACTTCCTCGTCCCTCTCTAAGCGAATTATTTGCTGAAATATAAGCGGTGGGCAAATAGATTCAGAGATACTGAAGTTAGAGTACAGCAGAGACAAACAGAAACAAGTAGGCGAATGGCAGGCAAGCGAGGACAAGCAGAAGCAAAGGCAGACAGGGGAAATTCAACGGAAGGGCATTTAGTTTTCAACAAGGAAAGACACGAAAAAGTAGACAGAGAGCAAGCAAGTTAGAACAAATAAAGCAAAGACAGCAGAACAATGTTCGCTTACGTTGGGGCTCACTTACCTTGTAGCCTCCTGAGGTGTTTCAGACGGAGCCTCTTCTCGGAGATACGAGGTTGTGATCCATCCGGCCAGCGGAGTCGAGTGACAGTGTTCGGAGATGGACACACGGTTACCCTCACCTGGTTTAGTCCGCCGTTGGAGGCGGTTACCGGGATGCGGCCGCTAGGCAGAACCTAGCTTCTGGGCGCCACATTTGAATGTTGGGTACCAGCAAATGGATGCTAGGCGTAGAATAAATCTGCAAGCAAGCGATCGGGCTACTAAGACCGTGACGTGCGCCCACAGCTGGACACCCCTACACCCCACACACGCACAACTGGGCAGAGGTGTGTACCGATTGGAGGCGTCGGTCGACAACCTTCCAAGCCACGGCGCTTGGCTCACCATAATATTCTCAGACTCGGATCACACATGTAGCAGAAGAGCGGCATGGAGACGGAGTCGAGAAGGATATTTCCCACTTGCGTGAGAAGTGACAGTCGAGTGGTGATATTGTTGTGTAATGCGGTGGTTGGTGGGGTATGTGTTATGCAGCCAGCGGCTGTCTACCACAGGTTTTCATGAATGTGCGATGTGACCGAATAACCCCATGCGGTGAGCGGATGTACTGGGACAGTGAAGGCAGTTGAGGTGGTTGCGGTGAGTGTATGTTCGTGCTCCAGATACTGGTTCGCCAGTCTGTGTGTGATGGACTCACCAATGACCGATCAGGCCGGTGCGTGAGTTGAGTATGTGACCTCAGTTAGGACGCGTATGAACTGAATCCACATCGCTGGATTTGGGAGGGTTGGTGGTGATGGTAAAAGGTGGTAGGACATCAGACACCGTCCCATCGGTGGTAGCAGTCCGTGAAATGGTTAAGATGATGATGATGATGATGAGGAGGAGGAGGAGGAGGAGGAGGAGGATGACGACGACGATGATGATGCTGATGATGATGATGATGATGATGATGATGATGATGATGATGATGATGATGATGATGATGATGATGATGATGATGATGATGATGATGATGATGATGATGATGGGAATGCTGGCCGCTGCAGTCGATGCAGCCGTTGGGGCTGGGCGGATGGTCTCGGTGAATGGTGGTGGCGGAACAGCGACAGTGTGATCGGCGGTGACGGGGATGGCGGTCGGCGCGGGGTTCGCAGTGGTGGTGGGAGTGGGATAAGAGGTAAACGTCGTCATGTTCAACGGGACTGATTCGTGCGCGGAAGGCCCGTTTTCAGGGCAGGCATGTTGGACACGATGAATGGTTGGCACTGATGCGACGAGGCACTTGTGGGTTGCGAGTCTCCCGTGTGGCTTTGGCGGCGACGACCTGATTTGCTTCGTGGATGAAAGCACCAGTCTTCATTTCTTTTCTACCGACCGGTCTGTTCTGGGCGAGGTTCCCCCAGGTCTCCCTATTGATATGCAATCCCTTAAGAGAATTCTTGAATGTGTTCTTGTAGCGTCATTTTCGGCCTCCCGGTCGGCGAGCACCGGTGGAGCCATTACCATCGAAGAGTTGTTTCGGCAGAAGTATATCTTCCATCAGCACGAGCTGGCCGCTCCGTCTTAGTTTCAGCTGCCTCAGCATGGTGCGGATGTTGAGGATTCCGTTCCGTTTTAGAGCTTCAATATCTGGGATCCTGTCTTACCATCTTAGCTTTTGTGTTCTGCGAAAGCAGCTGAGATGGAAGTGGTTGAGCTTCCTGGCCTGGCTTGCGTAGACGGTGCCGGTCTCCGTTTCGTAGAGAAGTGTCTTCAGAAAGAGGCCTTCTACATCTTCAATTTGGCGTTCAGTTGAAGGTCGTGGCGATTCCACACGGATTTCTGCAGCCGGCCGAAGGCTTGGTTGACTTTAAGATCCGGAGGGCCACTTCGTTGTCGATTCTGATGCAGTAGAGATTGCGCTGCCCAGATAGTTGAAGTTAGCCACGGTCTTCACTTAGGTTTCCTTGACGCGGTACGAGAGACACTGTATTCAGCAGTTGGTGGCCGTTGATGTGTGATCACCTTCTTGTTCATATAGATGATCAGTCCGAGGTGGGCGCTACCGGCAGCGAAGAAGTCCATGCTCCGTTGCATGTCTTCTTTAGTCGTGCTGTTGGTCGTGCAGTCGTCTGCGAAGAACAGATCGTGGGCAGTAGTTGTGGAGAGACGCGTCGGGGCCTGCATTCGCCGGCTCTTGAGAAGGTGCCTCTCGGTCCTGTAGTCGGTGCGGGTCCCGGGGCGTTCGTCATGGTAGGCGTCCCTTAGCACGGTAGGGGACATGAGGCTGAAGAGGATAATCACGATTACGCAGCCTTGCTCCACTCCATTGGTCATTGCGAATGCCCCAGAGATTGCGCCGTTGTCATGTCATCATGCCATCGTGGAGCTGACTTGCCGTGTACGTGAATCGCGCGAGACAGCTGAACTTCTGCATAATTCTCCGCAGTCCCTCCCGATTCACCATGTCGAAGGCTTTCGTCAGATCCAGGAAGGTGATGTAGAGGCGAGTCCAAATCTCCCGGCACTTTATTTGTAGCTGGAAGGAGGCGAAGATCAAATCAGTGGTTTCGCGGTGTCGCCGGAATCCCCACTGACTTTCCGGTAGAAGACCTTGCTCCAGGCAGCCATTGAGACGACTGAGGAGGGTGCCGACGAAGATCTTCCCGGCGATGTTGGATAGCAGGATGCCCCCGAGGTTGTAACGGAGTTGTCGGTTCTCCTTGCGCTTGAACGGATGGACGAAGTCCTAATAAACCTGTTGCCAGTGCCACATCTCCTAAAATAGCGCCGGTAGTTGGTCAATCAGTCTGTGGACGCCGTGTTTTTAGATTTCAGTTGGTATCGCACCGGAGGCGAGTGCTTTCCCCCTGGAGAGTTGTTGCACGGCGCGAATGGTTTCCGGACGAGTAGGCGGGAGATCCAGGTCGGCGTTGGTTCCCACTTGGGGAAGGCGGTCGATGGCGGTATCGGAGATTGTAAAGGGACGGTTGAGAGCGCTTCTGGGTCGCCTACGTAATTGCATGTCGCCCTCGCCGCAGGACTTTCGACAGTGTAGGAGGAGAATAGAGTAGGGAGAGCACAGAGAGAGTGAGGGGCGGTGAAGATCTGTGCAGGAGTAGAATGGGTCAGTAGCTTCCCGAATGCTGAAATGTAAGGGTGAGCAGGCAAAGACAACCAAACAGTACTCAGCTTACCCGGGGGATCAATTACCTTTTAGCCTGCTGCGGGGTTGCATACTGAGCCTTACCTTGGACATGGCGACGCGGTGGTCCAAACGGCCAGCGGCGGTGGCAGGGGGGCCGAATTATTGTGTGTGGTGATACACGCACGGATACCCTCACCTGGTTTAGTCCGCCGGTAAAGGCGGCTAACGAGATGTGGCCGCTAGATAGAGCCTAACCTCGGGAAGCCCCATGTGAGAGTTGGGTGCCAGTTATTGGACGTTAGGCGTAGTCAACAACTGCAAGCAAGTGAGCGACTCACTACGACCTTCACCTGGACCCACAACTGGATATCCCTACAGCCCCGGTGAGAAGGTACGCCGTTGCGGACCGACAGGCCGTTTCACGAACACTTTGTACATGGTGGTTACTCTTCACGGCTCTTATCAGACATCCAACTTATATCCGTAGCTCCGCAAAGCTATGTTCTACACAACGACCATACTCCGATTAACAGTTTGGCTGGGGGTTTAAAGCAGATGAGGGTCTCCAGTGTATGCTTCTACACCTGGTATTAACCGTCCTTGTTCCGTCATTCACCCAAAACCCAATAAAAATCGTATGAAGCGGGCCGACTGGCAACCCAGACGAATTCTGGTCGTTCTCCTACTCAGCAAAACATGTGGTCCATAGTGGAGTTTGGCAGACGCCTGGGATGATTAGGCAGCGTCATTTAGAGGCAACACTACTTACCTCGTTACGGTAGACGCAGCTGGAGACGGTGCCCCAAACAAACGTTTATAATCACGCCGTCTGCAAGCTGGTTATGGTTAATGGACAGAGAATACGCAGTAGAAATACTATAAGAAACAACAACCACCCATCTCCATACATCCCACTGACTATCAAGGTGACGATGTTCGTGTTGGCACTCAGGGAAGTCCCCTCTGGGCAAACGGCCGAAGAGGAGAATATTTCTAATCGCCCGTGAACTGGCGTGTTACATGGTGAAAATGTTGGCTCTCAACGAGGCGCGACTCTCTAAACAAGGAGAAGTGCATGAGGCGTACGCTGGTTTCACCTGGAGCGGACGCCCAAAGGCATGGCGGCGGGGGCTACGGAGGCCGGTCCTGTGCGCGTACAAGAACCACTTGCACGCTCTGCGTCTACCTTAGTCAGAGACCGATTAACTGCATGCATGTCTCCGTGCCCGTTCCCCCACCCTCACTGCCAATTACTGCCTTCTCTTCCCTCCGCTATTCATTCAACGGCTGCTCAGAGAATCTATGAGACTTTTACGAAGAAATATGAAGTTAACTGTAGGAACCTCTACTCGTCTCCGTCCACTGCTCATGTCCGATCTCTATGCCTGTGCCCCCTTCCTCTCCCAAAGCATGTACACCTAGGCCTTTCCGTGGTTCACAGGGCGCAGAACAGCCGAATACATCAGTGGACTTGCACTGCGTCCGCCGCACTCTATCCCCCCCCCGCTTGAGTCCAGTGTCAAGACATGGTTAAGAAGACCGAAGGCGGGAGAGAGCACAGGTCGCTGGCACGGCTGGGTCCACACCTAAGCGCACCACCACACCCCCTGGTTCACAACAAAAACTTGACCGGGATTTTAACCAACAACAGAAACGACTCAGAAAGAGAAGGATGACGCAGGTCACTGGGCAACCATGCACATGACCTGTATACCCAGCGGGAGCGCCAGCGCATCCACCCGCAGGGAACCAGGTGCCAGGGAGCTGCCAGCGCACATCAAACTGCGAGGGCCATGGTTTGTTGAATCATGGCAAAGCAGACGCACACAATCCTTAATGCATTTTATTTGTTATTATTTATAACAAATTCGGGTAGGGGTGTGGTTTATGGCCGGGGTTACTTACTTCGGGGAGCAATTGTGCTAAGACAAAATAACTGACGATATTTATTTGTGCTTGACAGAGAAAGAAATGAAAAGACCGCCCGGTGGCTGTTGCGTGAGGGTGATCAAGATGCTTTAAGGCAGTCATCTGAGTAAAAATACGACAATGTAGTACCTTTTTTTGACAAAGCCTGCAAAGGGCACTAGATGCATTTGCTATTACCATTTAATGGTAAAATAGTTACCCCTTTTATTTGGTGACAGTATGGAGGGTCAAACTTGCTATACCACAGAGTTCTTAGATATTCAGCTCTTTTGCTCAACACAAAAACTCTCTCGAGTAGGTAACCCCGGCCACAAACCATACCCTTGCCCAAAGTCGCATACATGAACGAACTGATGCAGAACCAATTATTCGCCTTTCGTTATGGCTTTTAAGCCTTTTCGCCGTCTATCAATGTTCGCAAATAATTTGGAGACGGAATGTTTTAAGAGCGTGTGTAATCGTGAAGTCGCTTTAAGCAGATATTTGAGCTGATCAGGACGATAAATAACGCTTTGCACTCATTAATGCCAGTCGACTTGATGTTTCGAGAAGAATTACCCCACATAAAGTATGCATGTGGGAGTAAGTCATTTTGGACACTTTGTTTTAGCAGACTTTAATTCAAAACGACTTAATTTTATAAGCCGGTGAAACATTCAAAGATATTTAAACGCTTTATCGCTAACTGGCTGTTGTGCGCCTATCCCTTGGGTTTCTATTTAAGAGGAATAGGCGAACTTCAAGAGGTGGTGCAAAAAATATGCTATCACCGGGACAATAAGTTTATTCGTTTGACGTTTCGAATTCTCATTCGAGTCCATCATCAGAGACAGTTGCATATATCTACGGGCCTGTTAGTCGTACAGATAATCGCTATTCCCTTATCACTGACTCATAATATGAGCATTTTTGTCGGGGATGCACTTTTGGTGGAACTACAGGGTCAGCTGTTGAATCCCGTCTGGGGATACATGTCTTCTAGTTTTATGAGTTCCAAATTCCCATAACGTTTCGTCTGATCTCATTGTTATAATTACGGCCTACGATACATGTTTTCGTTACAATTAACCGACATTTGAATCTCAAATGCACTCCTGCACTACTCAATAGGGGGCCGAGTATCAACCTTCAAGACAAGACTATGGTGTGATTTTTTTTATCATCAGGCTCAAATACCAAACTTAAGCGTGATGTCCGAAAAATGCTGAAACATTCGCTTGCGAAGATGTGGTTAATTTCCTTCCGAGTCGTTTCCACCCGAACTAACTCTAAAGAAGAGGGGACAACTTAATGCCAACAAGAATGCTACTACTTTGATGAGGCTTGTCAGGAATGCGCGAAGGGATGCAGGGTATAGGCAGTTCAAATTCATCAAAACCCCTCGTTAAGATTTCACTTCGCTGGCTGTTGGGTTCTTTTTAGGCTTACGCTACCCTGTTGACCCCCTAGACTCTCCCCGACAGGCAGCTGTTAGTCATTGGCTGAAGGCTAACGACCAGGTCCTTCATGACGGCGGTTGCTACTGTGGGTAGAAGTTATCTCAGTCTGTTGCCAAATTCAGCTGATGCCTTGATTGTTATCAGGCGAACCTAGAATAATCCACACCTGGGAGAGTCTTTTTAAGTTAGAAAACTCACAGCTGCCAAATTGAAGGCACATTAGTAGAGAGAACGCTAATGCTATTTCCACAAGGACGGTTCGAAAGATTTCGACTTTCTGGAAACATAAATCTTAAGGAAAGGGAGTTGTGTGACAGTTGGCACTAGACATTTTAAGAACACATACTGTGTACCATGTTGTTACTTCATAGACTATTCTGACTGCATAAATCGTTTATCTGCCTGGGACCTTAGTAGTATCGGGCGTAAGTAGTGCCTGGCAAGAGCTAGAGTAAGGCACGGCGCGCGTTATTCGGGCTGTGTACCCATAAAAAATGTCCCGCGTGTAGGTATGGTGGGACGTCAAGGCGCATGCCTGCGTCGCGCCAGCCCCCTTGTGCCCAATCCCTGCATCATATGGCTGACCAGATCGGACAGCGGACTGATGCCCGGGAAAGGGAAGAGAGAGTGAGATGAACGCTGAGATCTGCGTCCCCACGGCACCCAGCGTCTATTCCTCACTATAAATTATCTGACGCGCTTCCATACCACCGCGGTGTGCTAAAAACTGTGGCTTTGAAGGCTGCCAACTC